ATCGCTCCAGTAGTTTCATAGCCTATTCGATGCAAACAAACAATTAAATCTGTCCTCTTTATAAGTAAAGATTATTCACAGATAAATATAAACTTCATGTCATGTCTTCGTACACCAGGGTAAAGTCCGTTAGTAATTACACGAATTAATTAAATCACTCCTCTTTTACCAACTTTTTGTTTTTACTTTAAATTTAGCTATTAAGTTCTTTTTGTGTTTGAAAGATAAACTTCTTAGGGTATTTTAGTCTTGTCATCTTACCTTAGCACTAGCTTTTGACACGCAACTTCGCCCGCGCGGTCTAGTTTTAAGTCCAAAAATGAGAAAATTGCATAAAAACTTTCATCCCCTAATTTATCCCCTTAGGGGTCGAATTTCGTAAAATCCTACGTCCTAAAAAGAACCCACAAGCAAAATTTTAAACTCCTAGCCATTGTAGTAACGAAGTTTCATACAATCTTTCGTCCTCTTATTTAGCCCCTTCGGATGGAATTTTAAAAATCATCTCTTAGTGCTCCTCTACACTCCCTAAGGAATCTTCATTCCAAATTTCAACTTTCTAAGGTCAGTAGTTTTGGCTGTACGTTGTCGGTCTGTCAGTCACTCAGTCACTAAGTAACGCAAGAATTTTATATATATATATTGAAGATGATATCTAATGACAACATTTTCCAAAATAGCTTCAATATAACACTTCATTAGATGAACGAGTTTATTCAAGCCTCAGATAATCCATAATTGAATTACTTAAAATGGATCCTTTCATATAACTACAGTGATAAGAATTAAGATATTGATAGACAGATAGCATTATTTCATCGCTAGGTAATAATATAATAATATAAGCTTTCATTCCTTGGTGGGGTTGTTATCAAGCAGCTTATAATCGTTGTCACCAATGGATACAGCGTAGTACCAAGATATTTCTGTATACGTAAATGCCTCTATATAAATGTTTTGATGTCAAATAAAAATAATGATAAGAAACATACGGAAATAATGATATGGCTTAATTTATTCTAAATCCAATATGGCTATTAGAAGAAAATAGAAGATTAAGTGGAATGAATTGATTTGATTCTAAATCCAATATGGTGAATCACACAAGATGGCGGACTAGTTATTAAATTTTTAAGCACACACACTACCGATGTTATTTTGAAAGTAAATTCCATTAATAAGTCACACGATGGATTGAAAATTAAATATACACCTTTCGTTTTCACATATTTGCACTGTATTACGACAGTTGCTAAATATAGCATTAAGTCAGAGAGAACGACTAAGTAGCATTTTAAATTGAATGACACAGTTCGAAACAACTTATTTTTATTTATAAAACAAGCAAGTATTGAATATAAACGTCTTTATTGGTTTGGCGCTTTGTCTTTGGGTATTTTTTAATAATATCCTATTTTATCATGTGTCCATTTGCTTATATTTTTAAATATAAATATACAAAAAATTACCAAGTTGTTGAAAATAAGAACAAGTAGATAAGTCCATGAAAATTTGACATTGTCGAAATATAATTGACGATGAGTAGACAAATAACTATTTGCTTTGTTATTCAATTCATTCTGCTTTGCTTTTATATATTACTTTGCTTTGCTTTTTATATTCAAATCATTCTGCTAGCTCAAAACAAAAAGGTTATATTATATAGTCTTGATATTTTATCTACGATTCTGTATATAAAACAGAGTGTCATCTGTATTATATTTTTCTTACTAAAACCCCCTTTCTAGAATGTTTATTTATTACGATATCGTTTAAAGATTTATTGGTTGATATAGATGTTACAATTATTCCTAAGCAAGTTAGATATAAAAAATGTGTTAAACACGCTATTAGTAATAATATTCATAATTGGTTCCATATTCTAACATATTGTTGTGTTAACCTTAGATTTATTTTTGATGTTAAATTATTTCAAACATACATTATGCTATGAGCCTACACATACTTAGGCTTATTATCAAGTTAAGAAACTAGTAATGACTGTATATTTTTCTATGTAACTAATAAATAAATAAAATATGTATATCCTTTAATCTTATTTGACAAGTCCATAACTGATTGGTTTGCTCCAAAGATGGGGTATTTCAAATCAAAATTGAAAATTAAATTTCCTGTTGCACAAACGTCCATTAAGGTTTAATGACGTCTACAAGCTCTAATGAATATCAAATTTATATGGGTAATGTAGCTTTAAAGTAACTACAATTTTAATAGACATTTGTGTAACTGGCTGAGAGTAAACAAAATTGTCATATCGACTATTATTTGTGTATGCGTTGCATTATTTGTATATGAGTTGCAGAAAACAACAAAAGAAATCAACGAAGTGTGAGCCAGATTGGAAAACTAGTACACTCAGATGTCTCGTCGGGGGCAGTTAGGCCGGTTTGCGCGCTGGCCGGGCATTGCACGCCGTCGCCTTGTCTGGAGACGTATCTCAAATGTCTCTGAGAAGTACCCCAAACCCGCAGTGGTGGTGGAAGTGATCTTTGGGCCTTCCCCATGTAACGCCTCCATGGAGAGGGCCGTCGCTGGGTTTCATTAGGTATACCCTTGCTATTTGACTAGCCCTAATCTGGGGTGGTCCGCAGGAGAGTCTCACATAACCCGCCGACCCCGCGCTAGGGGGTAGCGGGTACGCCTAACACATTTCTCAGCGTCAAAAAAAAAGAAAAGATGTCTCGTCCTGTATCCGAAGAGGTACTGAGACTGATGATCTCTAGTTTAAGGGCCCTATTTCATTTCGACTCTAATTTTAGTGTAAAATAGTCAATTTTGACACTTCTGATATCCAAGGCAAAAATATGCTGATATTTTTTAATTATAGTATAATAGGCTTGTGTCCTACAAATGAAAATACGGGTACCTTTTATATATTCGGAAAAAATGAATTCTTTTAACTTATAAATATTTAACAAAATAAATTCTATGACACTAATTTGGAAAATATTATGCTTTGAAAACTTGAGAAAGAAGGAAAATATACTATATTTCTTTTCTACAATACATGTATCATTAAATTAGTTACACGTGTGATGTTTCATTATAACAAGCTATACATTGCAAATTGATCATATTATCATACAACATAAACCCACAAATAACAAAGATATTACAAAGTTCCACAAAAATAGCACCTTATCTCCGAAAAAATATAAGTTAGAAGCTTTAATAATTTTGCATAAGTGGCTAACAACGGCAAATATTGCTAAATAGGTTATACAAGTTTTTATATGGACCGTGCAGGCCTAACGTTTTTTGTGCATATAATGCATACAGGACGAACCCTATACACAGTTCACTTCCAACACGACAAATATATTTAAAAAAAAACTCATTATCACCATCAGCAATTTTACGTCCCCACTGCAAGGGCTCAGGACTTTATTAACGACTGCAAATGCAGCCTACCGAGTTCACGTGCCTTCCGAAGCACGGAGTAGCTCGAGATAATAATTTTTTGGTCACGAATCACGTGACAAAACTTGGCGAAAGTCGTGGGCCACGACGCTTATACACAACGCCACTAAACTACGCTCTGCTAAAATATCTAAGGATACCAAAGTAACTGAAAATATATAGGTAATTAACGATAATAGGAAAATATATAAGTGATTAACGGTAATAGTTGTAAGTTCGATTCTCGTTTGAGATTTTTTAACCAAATATAACCTTTTCCTAGAAACAGCACTACTTATTTTGGATTCATTACCGTTAAAAATTATTTAACATTATCATATAAAAAAATAATAATTTATAATATCGTAAAGGAAAACCTTTACATTCCTTTTTACAAAAAAAGCGCGTACGGAGAAATATGTTATTTAGGGCAGTGGTGTAGAAGTGATTTAAATTGTTATTTTTAAAGTTATTATTTAAATTAATTAAGATGACAATATACACACTAACATACGTTCAACACTTTTTTTATTGATTGTCATTAAGCCCGATAAGAACTTAATAAAAAATGCTTAAAAAATCTTCCATTCCCAAGTACTTCAATGGGATTCGAACCCACAACCTTTCGCAATCCGGGCCACTGCTCTAACCATTAAGCTACCCGAGACTCAACAGGACTGCCGAATTGTTACTTACTACTAGTGATCATATATTTTCATCGATGTTCAGGCAATCGACCCAAACAGCCGAAAGACTTTTTCCACAAATATATTTAAACTTTCGATTATGATGAAAAATTGTTCGAATTATTTTATTCGATCAATTTGCAATACTACACTTGTTCACGACTAACTGCGCTTTATAATGTAAATAGATTTTATACAAGATTTATACTCTTTGATTTTATATACAACTAAACTTTTTGGAATACCATTACTTGTAATTAAAATTAATTATTAAAAAAATTACAGAGTGCATAAAAACAAGCGATAAAAAATGCCTAAAAATCAAAAAGAATTTATTATCAAAGATGTATACAAGAAAAGCATTGAGCATATACAACACAACCTGTAAAAAAAGCTTATTAATGTTCTTACTTCACAGTAGAATTTTGACCACTACCGTTTATAAATAAAAACACTTTGACAAGTTTCATAAGAAATCTTCTCTGTTAGGCATAACCGAACCGGCTTAAGAAATAAACCAACTTTGTTTAGCAATTCGTTTTCTATTACCGCTAGCTGTTTTGCATAACATCATATTTTACAACCGTCTTCAGAGAGGATAAGATTTATTCAATGTTATTTTGAAATACCTGTCACATAATTTATTTTTGAAATCTTAGTGTTATGATTATATGAGGAATATTCTGTAGGATTAGAAGTTTCAGTTAAATTACTTATATTTAATTTTTACAATTTCTTTTTATTTGACAATAAATGACTGCCGCACTGCTTATTATTAACTATTTGACATTTGAACAATTAAAATAAAAGAGCTTTTCAACTTTTTATTTGTTTACTTAATTTCTTTGGGCAGTTCAACTTGTTAAACTTCCCCTAAATATTAAATATACTCACCCTTATTTAAATTAAGAACGTTATCACAACCTGTGGTACATCACTCACAATCGTCTTAATTAAACACGTATACCTTATTCGATTAATTCATTCAGTGTAAATCGATACGGCGCGACCATGCGCACGAGTGGAAACGCGCGCGTTCGCCACAGGCGCTTAGGTGATTGCGGTTAGTTTGCACCGGCATACACTATTAACCATTTCGACAAGTTGGATAGCACCGGATGGCCGTAGACGCGGACATTGTCAATATAACTCGATAAAGGATAACAAATCGACTGGCCTTTTAACTATACAAAACGCTCGTTAATTCGCAAAACATCAAATCTTTATTTCAGTATTGGTAAAGCGTATTTCTGAATATTAAGAAAAAATTACTTTACATGCATAGAAAATGTTTGAAAAATCCTCCAGAGCCAGATGAAAGTAACAAGTGCATGAAAAATTCACAGTGCTGCTGGATCCCGAGTAGCTCAATGCTTAAAGCCCAGATTGCGAAACGTTGTGAGTTCGAGTCCCATTTCGTTACTTACCTGAGGCTGGTGGATTATTTAAGCATTTTTAGAGATATTTATCATAAATTGATCAAACATAATAAATAAATTACTCTCATAGTAAGTTATGTGTATTGACATCTAAGAAGAGAAAATAAATACGATTAAGAAGAGGCGTAAAACCAAAAGAATGTCTCATGTCATGACACCCGCCTGCAATGAAATAGATAGAGAATTGCGCATCTAAAACGGTTCTTTTATAAAACCGTTAATATAAAAGTGCTGCATAATTTTCTCTCTTCCAAAGTAATTAATACGTATCTTCTATTTTCCCATTAAAAAGGGGTAAAATTACGGCGATTTATTAAGGGTTAATTAAGAGGTGTTATAAGAAGAGAAAATAAATACGATTAAGAGGAGGCGTAAAACCAAAAGAATGTCTCTGTTCATGACACCCGCCTGCAATGAAATAGATAGAGAATTGCGCATCTAAAACGGTTCTTTTATAAAACCGTTAATATAAAAGTGCTGCATAATTTTCTCTCTTCCAAAGTAATTAATACGTATCTTCTATTTTCCCATTAAAAAGGGGTAAAATTACGGCGATTTATTAAGGGTTAATTACGAGGTGTTATAAGAAGAGAAAATAAATACGATTAAGAGGAGGCGTAAAACCAAAAGAATGTCTCTGTTCACGACATCCGCCTGCAATGAAATAGATAGAGATAGGTAAAGGAATTGCGCATCTAAAACGGTTCTTTTATAAAACCGTTAATATAAAAGTGCTGCATAATTTTCTCTCTTCCAAAGTAATTAATACGTATCTTCTATTTTCCCATTAAAAAGGGTAAAATTACGGCGATTCATTAAGGGTAGAATTACGAGGTGTTAAATATTGAATTTATGGGTAAGTTATATATAGTTTTCTGTTGAGATATATTTTACAATTCACATTTTTATTTTGTACCTTAACATTTTAGATTATAGGTTATTTACTTTATTTCATTCTACAAAATTGTTTGAAAGTTAATGTTTTTGATGTGAGAGCCTTCAAAAATTACTTATTTTAATTTTTAAAGATTTTTGCTTGTTATCTCCTTACTTTGTAGATAAATTTTATATTTATCTCCATATCATCACCTAAAGGTTGACTTCCTATGGCATTGAGTCCACCTTTGTACGGTCGAGCATGATGTATGAAGTAAATAAATATTTTTAAAAAAATCAAAGATATAATACACAGCAGCATATCAATCTTTATCAGACTTCTCTTAAATGTCAATATTCATTCATCCATATTGACCAAAATCAACATATTAGGTGTGAAAATTGCGTGTAAAACTTGTCAATATTTATTACACGACTCCCCAAAAAAAAAAGTATATTGTGTTGAGGGACCGTGAAACATAAATAAGAACTTAGTAACTTAAAATAATATTAGCGTCTACCGTCTGCTTTAGACAAATCCTAAACTATAAAATTAACGATGACGTTCATTCAATTTTCTTTTTTCAAAAAAACGTCACCATCGCAGTCGCTATCATACAGCAAAGAATTATAGCGTAAAGTTCGTGAACATCTTTCAAATGTCAAATTAAAAGGGATTTCGATTGATTTTAAAATTGAAAAATTAGGTTCTTTAGCCAGGCTACTCGATCCTCAATTAATAACCCATTTGTAACCACACTTCTATGCACTTTAATCAGTTTCGTTGGAATGATCTTCATCGATGTCCACTAGCTTTTTATTGTTAAAATCACATTCAAAACATCATGAACTATTTCCTCCTATCATGTAATTTACATATAATTTATATATGACTGTGAAGTTATATATTCTCCTTCTTATATTTAATATAAAAAAAAATCAACGATTACGCATGCACCTACGTTTATCCTTTATTTTAATATTCACATCAATGACTTGTAGAAAATACCTAAGGCATTATATACACCTGTATACGGTTGTGCATGAAGCATTAAATAAATAAAAAATATAAAATTGAATACCATAGAATAAGATAGGACATGCGAATTACACGATTTGTCGTTGAAAAGTTTAAAAAAATCACGTTTGTTTTATGGGAGTCCCCGTGACTTATATTATAGCCGAAACAGAAATACACCATATGTGAAAGTTTCAACAATCCAGTTATCACAGTTCCTGAGATACAGACTGGTTACATTCAGATAGACGGACGGACAGCGGAGTTAAAGTCCCTTTGGGTACGACACATAGAATGAGAGAAATCGTGCTGGTCTGAACTTTTTTTTTTTGGTAGAAGGTTAGGTTTACGAACCTATATATTAAATTATTATAAACAATTTACAAACATCACATCAATAGCTCAAATTCCAAGATGAGTAGCTAAAGCCCCCGTATTATAGAGTATCTGAGGCAACGAAGATACCACAACAACCTGATCCGAGACAATGTAGAAAAATTCACTTTCTACATTGACCCGACCGGGAATCGAACCCAAGACCTCAGAGATGACGACACCTTGAAACCGGCGTACGAACCACTCGACTACGGAGGTCGTCAACCTATGGCATAGTTTTCAGACTTTATTAAGTACTTCTTAAGAGTGACTTATTAAACTATATTGAATTGATTTGAACATGAGTGCTTTATCTAAGTACTTATATTGAGATCAGAATAACATAACATGATATTATAACCAAATCGACATGATGTAACACTACGTGATGTTGATTTGATTATCACATATAATAAAACCTTTTTGATACTAATAACTCGAGACTAATATAACCATACATTCGATCTAACAACCTCCTTGCCTCGCACGTCAGTTTCAAGGTTAATCTCTGAGATCGCGAGTTTGATTCTCGGTCGGGCCACTACAGAAAATGAACTTTATCTTGTGTGTGTGTGTGTTGTGTTGAGGTACTCGATTACACAGTATCTAGCGCACTCATTCTTCGATACCGCTCATAGGATGAGTGAACAAAAATTTATTATCTCGAGCACCTCCGTGCTTCGGAAGGCAAGTTAATCCGTTGGTGACAGCTGCATCTCCAATTGTTACACCCACCAATGTCACTACGGTTCACGTGGTGGGTCATGATCCATTCTACCCATTCGAGTCAATTCCATTCGTAGGGAAGACCTGAGCTCCAGCAGTTCGAATCATAAAAGGCCAATGATGATAATGATGAGTTTTGTGTTACTTTCGTTGTTTTAGATTTTTATATTAAAGTGCTCTATCTACTAAATTTGGGATTTGAGCATATTTGTAATTTGACGTAAGTCTAATAAAAAATACTGTGTTTCTCAGTATTATTCGAGTCTTTTATTTATTTAAATAAAAGTGTATTTGATATGAACTGCTTTTTTGCTATCCACTTTTATATAACGATACGATAAAAAAATATAGATGTTATCTAACGATCGAAAAACTCTCAATGCTCCAACAAGAAATATAGAGCAATCAAACAAATGAACAGAACGTGTATTAATCATTTCAGAAACAATATTAAAAAATCAATCAATCGTCACCGGTACATATATGAATTAAGAATGCTTCATTCCAAATAAAAGCTCTGATATACGTTGCTTTAGGGCTTATTTAATGACAAACATAATTTATATTCAATGTTTTAATTCAGTATTAATTAGATACACTTCAATACACACATACGCTTGATAATATCACTTACATAAAAATTAACAACCAGCTCATTTGAAATATAAGGCGTATTATCATTTCATCTACACTAGTTATGTGATATATATTTGTTGTATGATTAAACGCTAATAATTAAAAGATATAATTAGAATTAAAACATATGAAAATTTATAATTCAAGTCAAACAGACACAAACACAATAATATTTATAATTACATTATCCTACAAATTTACAATATAACTAAGCATTTAATGCTATATCTAATTTAAATATTAATTAAATGCTTTTGCAAACAACTTATAGACATATTTATCATCTCAAAATAGTTTCTCTATTAGTCTTGGACTTTTTCGACAGTATTTAAAATTAATTACCCATTATGAGTGATAATCTCTCTATAGTAAAAGGCTGGACATTAACAATGAAAACATTAATAAAAGCTAATGATAAAGATGATTTATAATCATAATTTTTATATTGCATTATATGGATCAAAACGGTACAATCTCTAGCGATTGTTACAAAACATATTACTATTGAAACTTATAATCATGAAGGAGTAAAAGCTGCTTGACATAACCCTAAAAAACTATGATATATTCAATATAAGATACACAATCAGTACAGTTCCATTGGCTTATATGGCCTTAACGTGATTTCTTAATACCTTCTACTATTGAAATGAAACACTGCTCTGTGGCTTCAGCAAATTCTAAGAATCAGTGTTTAGTACAAGGTGTTTTATTCATATTAACTAATCGTACTACAAACGGCAAAAATTAAACTCGCTTTTGACTTTCATCATATAGTTATGTATAATAGTTTGAATCTATTTAATACAAACCTTGTGGCACTCGCTCCAACTGCTATTAAGTTTATCTTGAAAAATCTAGTCTAAGATAAACATAATTTAAACTTAGTTTATCTTAAAGAATCTAGCCTAAGATAAACTTAATGTTCTTTGCACAACTTAAAAAACAAAATATTTTTAACACCACTTAACCAGTTTTCCGTATATATACTGGATCAGAAATTGGCAAAAAAATTCTTCCTTTAATTTTTCAAACTTTTGTATCGTATAATTAGTACAGTCTCTCAAACTTTATCTTCACTAATGCCTTCAACTTCATTCCTCTTTCCTTGAGGCAGTTCGTTTGTCACTATATCTAATGAACCGTTTTTGCTGAGACCACAAATTGAGAGAACTTTGCTGCCAGCGCTATACTTCTTTATACAATAAAGTATTATAATCAACAATGTTAGTAATACAACAATAGCACCGACAATAATAGGCGCGCTTTGGTCCATATCATCAACTTCTGCTTTCACCATCTTAGAATTCTGCGCTTTTAAGAATTCTTCTAGAGTTGCGAAGTATTCTAGTATACCGGCAGTATTTAAATCAGTTTCACCCGTCATCGCTTGAAGGACATCCCTCCAATTCTCACTGGCTCCTAGTGACATTCCATCGCTATGAACATGCAATTTAATGTATGTATGAAAAAGATATACAGTTAACGAAGATCTAGAAAGGTTGTTTATTATGAAGTTATATTTAACACGCATAGACCTTGTCCTTTAACTAGCCACATTGAATGGAGGAATCATGACAGTTAAAAAATAACTCGGCATTATTGCGATGCAATTTTTTTTTCCTGTAAGGCTATACGTCTATTGATTGCACATATCGTATTACTATACATTACTACGCAAATTACTATGACACTATTAAAATATAAATTAGAAATACATAATCTTCACAATATGTTAAGTAAGTCAGTATTAAAAGGAAGTAACCAAAAATATATTACTGTGTGAAAACATTAACGATTCTAAGAATTAAAAACTTTAATATTTGAGTTCATTCCTAGTATGAGTAAAATGATTTAATCATGAGAAAAAAGTTAATTATACTGTTTGTTACTACTGTTAAAACTTTTTGTTTCTGTTGAGACGTGATTAGACTATGTAAATAATGTTGTTACCTGAAGAGTTTTCCTGCTTCCTTCACACCATATATGGAGCATTCGTGCAAAGGTCCTGTGTGATTGGCCCTCTTGCATAAAGAACGAAGGATTTGGAACTCGAGTACTTGCGACACCATAAAACTAAAAGAATTGATGTACATTTTTTAGAATATCTTTCGAACGCAATGATTTATCATCAGAAATGTTTTATTTAAGTCTAATAAACATTCGCATATATAATTATAACTATGAAAAATAAAACTATTTAACACAGAAAACGTCTTTCTCTATTCTATGAGTACAACCTTATGTGTATGTTGTGAAGGATTGTTTTAAACTGTATTAACAATTTAACTGTCTAACTATTCATCAGATCTTTAAGCTATTCATATCAATACTATAATTAAAATAACATTTCATACAAAAGGTCGACAAGGGTACTAAACGATGTTGCAATAGCTACATTACACGCAATAATTTTCTAATTTTAGATTTGCATCTTTAAATTACGATTGTATCTTATATTGTGACCTCAGTTTCTGTGTATAATATGCTACCCGAAACAAAAAGACCTACATAATTTCTCGATAGGCATCACGGCGTAATTAATATAATTTAAAATCATTGAGGATTTATTAGTATTTTACTATAATATAAATATCAATATGGCATTGAGAATGTAAAATTTATCAAATACGATTTCTTAGTAATTTAATTATGAGGTCTTCGATTAAAAAAAAAAAGACGTCAAGTCTTCATGTAACTATATGTGAAAGTTTTTTTTTTATCGTGGATACAGGTAACAGGAGTTAAAAAAGATTTACATTTTAGTCACAGAAATGTTTTTTAGAGATTACAGTTATCAGCAAGCTTTTATATTGGTATTTTTTTAATTTTTTTCACATACGGGCCCGCCCTCGATTTGTAACACTCATATCTATAGTCGAGTAAAAGTTATTTCTTGAGTATAATTAAACGCTCAAGCGAACAATATTATTCGATAAACAAGATACTCATTGATGTAAAAACTTACAAAAAAAAGAACACTGTTTTAATAACACTATTTGTTATTGACCGTTCTTACTTTATTCAAATTTTAATCTCTTGGTTAAAAATATTACAAGTTGTTGTTTCTACTTGACTATAGAGATGCGAATGTTACGGACAGTTGCACAAACGTCCATTAAAGTTTAATGACGCGTTTAAGCTCTAATGAATGTCAAATTTGTATGGGGTAATGTTGCTTTTAACTAATGAAAATATTCATGGACGTTTGTGTACGTGGCTGTTAGTCTCGCTTGTATAGATTCATCATAATGTCAAAAATTTCGAAAAAGAATTTAAACTACATTAAACTACAATTTTAAACTACATTTATTACTTCTGTACTTACTCGATAATATATTAATAAATATACTTTTGCTTACGTTATGTACTGAACATGGGATACGACATGATATTTTGCTGCTGGATCCAAATCACTTTCATTTCTTGGCACTGGTGGAGATACGCCCGTTTCAGCCATCCTAAATTTAATTATAATAGGGATAAATTATGAAGGTAGCTAGCTTTGCAATCAGTGCATCATTTTTTCTACAGTTTTTCATTATTAGACAACAATATTAAATGTATTAAGGTCTGTGAAACGAAACTCGTAAATGAAAATCATGCTAATGATTATAATTATTTCAGAAAATAGTTATTTTATAGCATAAGACTAATAAAAGATATGAAAATTAAATCAGTACATTAATCATTTAGTACTGTAAGTAATAAGAGATAACAACAACTATCCAGCCAATTGCCTACAGAAGTTTTAGAAAATAAAACTGTATTGTTACGAAACGATAGATTATAAAAAACATCATAAAAAGAGGGAAATAAAGGAAGGAGAGACAAATACCTTGAACAAATAACGAAGACAATAAGTGTCCCACCAAAACGTGAAATGAAATTAGTTTAATAAATAATAACGGTGATCCACCTACAAGCTTCTGACTTAAAGGTTTTGTTACTAGAATAAGTAAGAAAAAGTTTAAGTTATTAAATAGGAAACAAAAATTTTCATGATGTTGAGGTTAGTGAGTAATCAATCACTGATTAATCATGAATAGAATACATTTCACACAGTTCAGCCTGTGAGTATTAAGAAGAAACATTCTTCAGAGACAGAAGACATAATAAATCATCGATCATAGCTAAATCATCAACATCACTCTTTATACGTCCCCACTGCAGGGGTTCAGGCCGCCCTTATGGATGGTTATGGAGGATAAGCTATGACCCTCCACGCTGGCTCCATGTGAATTGGAGGGTATTAACGACTGCAAATGCCACCGGGACCAACTACTTAACATGCCTTCTGAAGCAGGTCGAGATAATATATTTTGGTCACCAATCCCGTGATCGACCCTTCCAAAAGTTGCTTAACAACAATGATTGCGGGCCACTACACCACCGAGCTACGCCACATCAATGAACACCACATAGCTCTGTCTGTTTCCAACAACAGGTATATTGATGCACTGATTACAGATATTAGACATTCACGAATAACTTCGACATCGCCTATGCGATATTTAAAATTACGTGTGTTAAGTCGTTTATGACACGACTTTAATGAGGATACAACTGATGAATTCACAAGGTCTGTATTAATTGACATCTTGATCAGGAACTGCATTTTATGGTACAAAGATCAAGGCAAACACATTTATAGGATAACCAAAATTTTCCTATTACTTAATTAGGTACGTGTTCTCTTTTGCACAATCTATTATGATTGCTCTATGGCATTGAAAATTCGCAGTTCGAAATCTTTTTGATTACTTGTTATGTTTGCCTATAATGAAGAAGCAATGAATCAAAAACCAATGTAATATATGTATATCCGGCACCTGATTTTTAGGATTCTTTTGACTAAATTACAAATGGAGTCCTATTTCGGAGTGTGATTTCTGTTCTTCGACAACATAACTAAAAAGGTTTGGCAACAAAGTCATTAAAATAACATCGTCATAATTTACTTTATACTAATCCAAAGTCTTACCAAAATTATTTTAGCTTTAATAAATTAGGAGAGGATTTATTAAAATTAAAATAATTTTGGTAATAAAAAATATTGAGATTACATTCATTAGATAAAGACCGTTTTGCGTTGGAGTAAATTTGCACTGAGACTACACTTATAATTAATCAAAATTTATATTATTAAAAAGAGACTCAGCAAAGGTTAATCAAGTACGAGGTATTTACTCCGAGTAATATTCACTCCTGTAAGGTTAATTTGCCTTTTCTATGTTTATTATAAATTTGGACTAATACTAAAATTATAAGTTTAGCGTAAATTTACTCTGACGCTAAACCTTGTTTCTTAATAGCACTGTATACATATGTATCTTTAACTAACCAACCAAATTATAAATATATTCTAAAATAAATTTCTCGCTTTTAGAATTTCATCTTATTATACTCGTAGAAAATGTACATGATGTAACGTATACTTGGCTGGTTTTAAATTTTTCGACATTTAAAAACCTGACAAAGAAAACTAATGTGTATTGTTTGTCAAAACCTACAGAAGTTACAATTAAGTTAATATATATATTTAACTTTTAGACCAATTAATAAAATGCATTCAAAATTCAAATTTATCTAAAATAATTTTCATTATGATTACCTAGTCATTCAATTTCTTTATACCTTAAATCCCACCAACGTTGATTCCAATTTTCGATAGTATCGTTTCCAAATACATCCCATCTCCATTTGTCCAACACATAAGCATAAGCCATCAATGGAAACTTGTCTAAGGCAAGCCATAAGAGATGGTTCAACGTTATTTCAGGTCCTAGATCAATGTTTACTAGTTTCAACATCTTCAAATGTTTTGGTGACGTCAGCTGTACTGCCATTATATCTGATATCGCATCATGGAAGGCTGTAAAATGTAAACAATTTTTTTAACTGTCTTCAAAAATAATTATAAATAAAATGTAAAATTCTATATCTGCGGGTTTTGAATTAAACGTAAAGTCAAAATATGTGCTTATTAGCATATATGTATATTGATGTAATACGAATTAAGCAATCGGATTTCATGATAATTTAAGGGCTTTTATATCCTTTTTTTTTACTAATGGGTCACATTGAGTCAAAATTTGTTATCTATAATTGATGATGACGGTTTGATGTTAGTATAAAAATATATGATTAAGTTATTCGGAGTTAGAAAATTAAAAGTTTTGACGACTAAATGGTATTACATATTTTTTTTATTTCTAATGGGCTCAATCTTGACCTCAATCCAGTGCAATGGCATGAATGAGATGTACGGTGGAACGAACTTGCACATATCAAGTAAAATCTGACCTTAGCGCTTTGGATAATATCAACTTTTTAATGTAACCTTATGATGTTTGACACAGAATTGACAGAATGCGTGCTGCAAAATTTCATAATTAAAGCAGCACAACAAAAGTCGGGTCAGCTAGTTTTAAAAGAAATAGTTCTGGAATAATCTTAGAAAATAGTCAACACACTTAGTCATCCATATCTCCTATCTCTTCTGTTTTACTACTAGATCACCTATAGAATCAACAAGTAAGTCCAGAACTCTCAGTGTAAATTTCCCATTAGCACTTGGCCAGTTCTTAACTTAATTCGAAACCCTAGACAGAATATGACTGCTCATAATGTTACCTGGGCTAGGTCCATCTCGATATAAAGGAGGTAAATCTTTATAATGCTTGAAATATTGAATATGGCCTAGTAGTCTCGCAGCTCTGGATAAACCAACAACTATGTCAGTTATTTTCTCACCGCACCATTTAATTCTGGAATAATACGATACGTCACCAAGAAACTCCTGAATAAAAACTATACTGAAAAGATTGCCACTCAGGTACCGAAAGCTTTGATGACATGACAGAATAGTGGCCAATTTTTTATTCTCAACGTGCACGAACAATAATTTTAAGACTAAGAATACTAAATAATTTTAATAACAATTACTTCTTTTATTTTAGAGTTACATTTAATGATTATTCAATGAAATGATGACAGTGATGTCACTATTTTCCTTCCTCTAACAAATCAAATTTTAATTTCGATTTTTTTATTACAGGCGCACATTTAAAAATCGAAATATATATATACCTAATCTCTCCCGTATATTTTTTTTTTTATCTTAGTTATTGACAAAATTAAAAACGATGTTTGTCTAGTTCTAGCTTTTGCAACGGAGATGCATGTCCAGCACGGCAGAAAACATGGTTAGCAAATTAATATACCCTACTAAAGATTTGAGATGGTTCAATGATAGTTTAATCCAAGATCCTACTAGAGTAAATGCCTATATTCTTACGATGGATTTGAAATAATATTACTGGCCTCTTTTTTATTTTTGTTTATGATTTTGTCACTTATTATCACTTTGTTGTTGCTGTGCATCTTACTACATAATTCCAAAATTATATTTTTTTCTCCCCTTTTATTTGATATTCATTTCAAGAGTCCAAGTTATTGCTGTCGATAATAAAAATCTACTAAGAATACATTAATTTATCATTTTACGATTTTATAGTTTCTATTTACAAAAAAAAAAAAACAACAAGTACGACAATTTTAATATATTAACATATTGTTTTGATATTTACTATCAACAGCAATATCTTCATATCTTCGAAATTTAATTGATAACCTAATGCAAGTGCTTCAATTAACAGTTCGAATATAACAATAACCGGAACTTACTTATAATGTATACCATCACACATATCGTGGCTGGAAGGTAAACAATTAGCAGTAGCTATTGTTTCTGTTATGTCTTCATATGAATCTTTTGAACTTTCAAAGCCAAGTGATTGATGAAACTCGTCCACGACATCTAAAAGATCCTTGGCATGGATAGTTTCACCATCAATATTGCTTTGGCGTATAAATTCAGGATACGCAGCTACCTTAGGATAAATAGCTTGCCACTCTTGAGCCCATAGATTTCCTGCAAGCAATGTATTTATAAATATACTTTGCTATTGCATTGCTGTAGGCTCTTGTTTGCCAAGCACCTCTTAAAACAAGGTCTTAATATGTAAATGCACGAATAGCTACTTTATACTAACCTAAGAGATGCGCTGGTATACAATTTTCACTGTTCTTCAAATCGTCTTTATAAAATGCATTTAATTTGTTTCTAACAAAGTCGTGTAGTAAATTGTACATTGGTTTGATCTCTCGCCATATTCTTTCAACTGTTTCTACGAAGTGGTCATCTTCGAAAGCATAACGCCACATGTCTCCAGCATCAGTAAAGTTCTCTGATTGTGCTACCTTATTCATTCTTACTACATAGTCCTTGAAGATAGGACGTATTTTTTTACCTGTCGCGTCTCGATAGACCTTCCAGTAGTAAGCCAGTTCTTTTGTGTTATTACTCGTTTTGAAAACTGTTATGACATCTGTAAATTTTTGCGATAAGTAAATGTCATACTTCTTTACATCATGCATGAGTTCTTAAATTTTACTGGTTTCCATAACCACAGAAAACAAAGAAAATAAAAGCATTAGACGTACAAAGACAAGTCAAATATTTAAGATACTGGACGATAAAGATTTGCTTTTTTCATGCTCTTTTAATTAGATGCAAAAAAAAATATTTCTGTCCAAAAAACTGAAGTTTAGCATACCATTTACTTCAAATATTTCTAAATAATACAATAACACAAATATTTCCATTTACTAAGTACCTATTATTACTGTCTTGTAAGAGAATCATTATATATCACAATTATAATTTGTTTGCAATAAACAGCATTTATTCAATTTTAAAATGTGAAAATTTTTGGAAAATTCTATATTTCTAACGGGTAATAACAAGCTTCTAAGTATTTCAGTACTTACATAGTCATTAAGTTAATGTTTTAGGTCAGCTTACATTAATAATACCATAAAACTAATGATTAAGCAGTAAGGAAATAGAGCAATGAGTTTTTAATTATTTTCAACATCATTGAGAAGATACTGATAGCAACTTTGAGTTATGCTTTAACAACTACAAGTGAAAAGTTCTTCAACAACTATTTTTACAAAATAATAATAAAGAATCATAAGAAGCTTAAGACGTTTTAGCTATTTTTAAGTCGGGCTACTCGGTTATCTGTCTGTCCGTCTGTAACAACGGATTTTCTCCAAAATTACAGAACCGATCAAGTTCAAATTTGGTATGCATAATAATTGATGATGTGACGCAATATAAACATCCATGAATTTTCAAAATAGCCTGTTTTGGCAGTAAATAAGAAAAAAAAAAATAGACAAGTCTAGAGCAGACTCATCCCCACAAGCCACGATCATGACGTATAAGCCAGCTACTCATCCTTTCGCTCAACCATATTTTTTTACTAATCAACATCACATATATTGCTCAAATTCCAAGATGAGTAGCTAAAGCCCCCGTATTATGGAAACAACGAAGGTACAACAACACACAAACCCGAGGCAATATAGAAAAGTACATTTTCTACATTGACCCGACCGGGAATCGAAATTGGAACCTCAGCGATGGCGACACCTTGAAACCGGCATGCGAAGCTTCGGAGGTCGTCGATATTAAAACGAAACTGACATGACTTAAAATTTTATTACTATTTTAAAGTAATTAATCATTATGTATTGTTATTATCTGTAGGGTGAGTTACCTTAAAATAAATCATTAACTTACCACTCATTGTTCGCATAGAATCTTCTGTATTGCAAGATGTGGCATTGTATGCACACACGGTGACCCTACTCCATATTCTTTGCATTTTGTCTATCTCTTCTCTTTGCTTAAATAAACAATAGAGATAAAATTTTAAAGGCACTACAATATGGTGACGAAAATGTAATTAAATATTTTTATGGAATTTTAAAATTATTATTGCAAGAATTCATGATTTCTTGAGATTGACGACCTACGTGACCTCGACGATTTCGGTCTTTTCAATGTAGAAAATGAGCTTTTCTATAATCTCTGTATTTATTTTCTATGTTATCTGGGTATTGTGGTACATTCGTTGCTTCAGATTTCCATAATACAAGTGGTTTAGCTATTTAATTTGGGATAAGTTTGTCTTATGTTTATTGATCTATTTCCATGTATCAAAATATTCATACCTTGCTCTGAGGCATCTGTACATTGGTCCCACGCTCTTTAATAATTCTAAACTTTCTTCGCAACTTAGGATCATTTATATTTTGATAGTCACTCAAATATTTGTTTTTCAATGAATTCCAATACTGTTTCTTTATTTCATCCTCCTCAGCAGCTATTCTTACCTAGAATATACCTCATACTTATTAACTTACTATTCATACAATTAGGTACTTAAGAACGTTACTACTTATTTGTTTCTTACCATCTTGTTCTTTTTGCTCTCATTATTAATATCGGTTACGTATGACCATAAAGCTTTTTGTGATGTTTTGCAAACGTCTAAACTTAACTTATCCATTTCTTCCATAAAAACTTCTAGTGTCAAGTTTTCTCTATCCAGCTCATCCAGTTTTAAACGGAAATTATCAATCTCATCGTTATCCTTTAAAATTATAGAATGAGGATCTAATATAGTTTTCATTGCGTCATCTAGAAATCTTTTATCTTTCTCTTCCAATTCAGTTTCCACTTCGTGACCACTTTCGTCTGATTGTTCCATAGTTTTGTTTGGTTTAAGTATATTTTTTTCATCAGCTGACATGTCTGACGTCGGATTTGGTCCAAATTGAACTGCTACTACTACAGTTATTATTCCAATGACATAAAGCAATCGCTGAAAACAAATCGGCGACTTATAATGAAACATTAAATTCATTCTCTCTCATTTTGTTTAAAAAGAAACGAGCTGAAAAATTGGATCTAATTTGGCAGTTCATTTACCGTTAATATCTTTTTAAACTGGTGACATCGTTTTACTTCTACTTTTAAACGATTTTAATTTTAATTTACTTATAAATTGAATAAGAGATCGTATCGACTGGTTAATATGAAAACCCAAAATACAACGGCTAAATAGTTAACAGTTGATAATTCAGTGACTTCTTAACACAATATGTAATTGCTACTCAATGACAATGTTAAAAACAGGATGTAAGTATGTATACGATTATATTCTCAATGAAACACTAGATAAGAAAAGGACAATGATACTATACATAAAGATGAACACTTTAACAACGATCCAAGCGCATTGATATAATGACCACATCCTTTTCTAGTTGTAACTATATTATTAAATCATCCACTGTTATACTGTAAGGTCAGTCACAAAGGTAGTTTTTAATAATATGTTATATAATGTATTCAATAATAATACTCCATTTATATTTTTATGTGTTTATAATTTTCTGCGAATGCCGAAACACTTAAATGACTTAATAGACTGAAACTTTTACAGCAATATTAAAATATTTTGTAAATAAACCAATTTGGTTAACGAGCACGTTATCGCAGAGTTATGTTTAGTTTTGAGCCAAGAATCCACAAATGGAACAATTCTACGTTACGATCAGTATGTTTATCGGCAGTAACGAGGTTTCATACAACAATATTTCCTTTTACTCATAAAACTGCATGTTAACAACAAAATGCATTACGCATTTTATTATTGACTTTTCTACTCATTAACTGTACCTACAACTAATGTCATAGGCTAGCAAAATATATCTTGGGTGATCACAGGATATTAAACTGATTGCAATTATTTATATATTAGAATTTAATCAGGAACGGAAAACTTAGTTCAGTTAGAAATATGAACTCATTCACTGTATTCATAATAAGTTAACGTTTTGATGACCAAGTTTGCAATTATATCAGCTGACATATTCAAAACAACACCGCGTCACATATATATTATTACATAAAAATACCTACAAAAATCATTGTTATTCAGGTACTGTCCAAACGTAAATTCGAACACAGTTGTCACAGCACGGTCCCACTACATCTTTAACCAATTCACGTCTCAAGCACTATCGGTCGTCTCGCACAAAACGTTATACAGGTTGACGTGATGTCGTAGTGTTTGTGAATACTGCCGGTTGCTGTTTTGTCGTTTTGTGGTGAATTTTTCAAATCGCAACAATCGAACGTGGACAATGTTTTGAAAACGTGTTACGGTCCGCGCGACCGGTCGCAGTGCGCTGGCGCATTGTTGTGCGATCGAAATGCCTAACTCAATTCAATAGTCACACGTTCTCGTGCGACCGGACGCCACTCCTGACACCTTACCATCATCCTTTGTTATCGTTTACTTAGACGATTATACAAATTAAAGAGCACCATTATGAGTCCTAAACGGTATGGCTATCTTCTGCGACTTCTTTGTTGGTATGCTCACTTGAATTCGTCACTACATTTAGTTCGTCGAGGTTATTAATTTTATCTAAACAAAGTTGTATATTTTTATGTTTAAAAAAACTATACTCAATTTTATGAGTATATTTTTTATACAAAATATACTCATAAAACATTGTTATTTTCACCAACATCAAAATCGCGAAGATCTTGGTAAGGGGGTTAATCTTCAAATAAAATCTCCGTATGATGCTCATTTTATCTAATTTAGATATTTGCTTGATAACGAAAAACTTGTGAAAGTCAAGAAACTATGATAAATCAAGAAACTGAGACACTGTTTCCTAAATCTACGGTAAGAGATCTTCTGCTTGTTATTCTGTAAATTAATCAATGTCGAACTCAAAACCCAACAGACATAGAGGTTCCATAAAATGAAATTTCAAAAAGTAATCAATATTTTATTTCATTGAATCTCTATGCTGTTACAACGCTGTACTCAACGGTCAACTTAACGCTAATTTTATGCAGAATAGCAAAACTGTACAGAGTTCAAATTCAAAATAGATTTATTACACTATGAATCATTTCTTCTTCTTCTTCTATTTTAATGGCTATTTTGTGTTAACCACAATCCTGCCAATAGGCTAGTTGACAACTTTTTTTTTTATTTATTTCATAAATAAATAGTCCATTAACATCTGAGAAATAATGTCGAAGTAACAACATGTCTGCGATTAATAGTTTCGGAGAGACGGTGCTGTGTTTGTAGAACCACTGCTAGTTGGCCGAAAACGCTCCTTACAAATACAAGGCACTCAGTGACGTCACACGGTGCTACAGTAGCGAAAAATGTAAGGGCGTCTGGACATTTTTTGTAATATCTTTGTTATTTGTGCGTTTCTGTTTATAGCTGTTATAATGAAAGTTGTAACATTTTTTATATCAAATTTAATGCCTTATGTATTTTAGCAAATTTTTGTAGTAGATTTTCTCTACCTTTTTCAAGTTTTCAAAGCGTAATATTTTCCAAATCATTGACTTAAAATTTGTTTTGTTTAACATTTATAAGTTAAAATGGTTCATATTTTTCGAAGATATAACAAAAACCTGTATTTTCACTTGTAGGACACAAGCCTATTTCACGTAGGAGACCACTTCACGTTATAATAGATAAATATAATCAATTTGAAATGAATCATTTCATATCACGATATATCGGAATACGGTCTGTCAATTTGTTTTTTTTTTAATTAATGAACACTTAGGCATATATTTGTTTTATTAAAAATAATATATGAATAGGTATGCTGGGAAGTGGCTGGACCTGTCTGGTATGGAACTAAGATATTGCGCAAGTTAGGAACTGACTGCAGTATGCTTGTGTCTTACGAAAATACAGGTTTATGTAATATGTTCGGAAAATATGAACCATTATAACTTATAAATAGTAAACGAAATAAATTTTATCACACTAATCTGGAAAATATAACACTATTCTATTATTTTTCTCCGAAATCGAAAATCGACGATTTTCGAAATGCTAATACGACTCCAAAGAAACGTCGTAGTCAGGTGTCATTTTAAAGTTTGGTAAAAGGATGAGTGACTAAAAATTAATTAACTTCAACTACTTCGAAATTGAGAAATCTCATTAAGCCTTTGTCCCGGCTTCATTGGTTGTCATTAGCACCCACCAATCCACACTGATGGTTGTTAACGACCCTTGGTCTAAATCCCTTTCAAACATATAGTGATTGGAATTATGTAACGTTCAAACTCACAATCGATTTCAAAACGAATGATGATTCGAATAATCAAGACACATAAAAAACTTCGTAACTTAAACTTATGCGTTTAACGTTTGCCTTAGACATTACTAATAAACGTCAAATTAACCGTATCGTTCTTTCAATATCTTTAAAAAAAAAGTGCGTTCGCAATCGCTATGACACGTTAAATAGTTGAAGAGCAGAGTACGGATTGCAATGGATGTAGAAATTAGACATTCCATTCACAATGAAGGCCTTTGTCTAAAATATACTTGTATTACATATTAGAAGATGAGGAATTTTAATCGAACTTTAATCGCAACAATCTTAGAAAATGAAATTAAAAGATACACAGTCATATATTTTATTATAATCTGTTTAACTGTAACAGGTATATTTTTATTATTTTACAACTTCGTTATTCATTTTTCAAAAAGGACGCAAGCATTTGTGCCCCAGCATCGTCGATTTCATAGTATCCGTAAGGCTCCAGAGTCTTTTTTGTTCTCTCAAACCACTTTTTAACGTTTTCGTATTCACTGAAGTCATATTCAAAGGCCTAGAAAAGAAAACAACAATTTTTGATGACTGATTTTTTTACGTGAATTGATAACATTGTCTCGAGTGGGGGTGAATTCGATAATATTATTATTTTTGACCTTTATATCAGTTTTATTGCACTACGTTTTCATTTTATACCTAATCAAAGGCTCTGACATTGTCAACTGAATTACGCGACACTAAATCGTGAAATCAAAATTAAAATATTATTTTTTCAATTGAGCCTCTTAAATAAAAATTTTTTTTCTACAATCAGATTCAAATCGATGGTATATGAATATATATCATTAAATATAATAAAGCTAAAGAGTCTTTTTGTTTGGTTGACCGCGCTAATATCAGTAATTGAAAAAATATTTATTGGGGAAGGATAATGCTACTGTTGTAGCAATAAAAAATATAGCGAAAACGGGTAAAGCAAACAGGAAGAGCTATTTGCGGAAAACTTCTAATATTTAGACTAAGCTGAACACTTTCTTAAATTCCGTAGTGATTCTTACCGCGAGATTCGTAAATGTGACTATTATCGATATGTCTGCGACAGTAAGATTGTCCCCAGCGACAAATGCTTTACCATCCAGCAATGTATTCAGCCAACCAATAGCTTCATTCAATTTTGCTGCTAGAGCTTCATCCATTGGCTCGCCTTTAAAAAGCATAGGACCCTAGAAAAAATACAATAAAATTTCAATAGAACTTTAGGTAATACAAAATTAAGATAAATTTATACTTCCCCGAGGCATCATATTTCATCATATAAAATAATAGAAAGTTAGGTACTGTCTAAAAAGTGTAATAAAAAAAACAGTATTGTACTCGACGATGACATGTGATCACAGCGGTTAGATTAATTAAACTTTATTATCTTTTGAACTCGGAGGCGGAGGAGAGTAGCTCGGTGGCGTAGTGGATAAGCGCCGCGGCCCGCGATCGTAGTCGTTAAGCAACTTTCGCAAAGGTTGGTCACGGGATGGGTGACCTAAAAATTATTATCTCAAGCTACTCCGTGTTTCGGAAGGCACGTTAAGCCGTTGGTCCCGGCTGCATTTGCAGTCGTTAATACCCTCCAATCCGTATTGGGCCAGCGTGGAGGGTCATGGCCCATTCTCCTTAACCATCCATAAGGAAGGCCTGAGCCCCTGCAGTGGGGACGTAAAAGGGCTGGTGATGATCTTTTAAACTTGATTTTATTTGATTGAACCTTTATGCAAGGTTGTGCTACTCGACATTGAATTCGAGTCTTTTATTATATATTAAGACTGAAACATAATAATGACTTGTGTGAAGTGTGCTAGCAAATTGAGTAATGGTGGGTATTAACGACTGCATATACAGCCGGGACTAACAGCTTAACTTGCCTTCCGAAGCACGAAGGAGCTCGAGATAATAAATTTTTGGTCACCCATCCTATGACCAGCCATTGTGAAAGTTACCGTACCGTACCTACCGTAACCGTAGCAGACCAAGCGTGCTAACCACTGCGCCATCGAGTTTCTCAAAATATAATGTTCTATTATTGTAATATTATTAAATAAAGTATTCTCTGACTTATGCTCCTCAATCGACGCAATGTTGAGTTATAAACGCTTTGACCCCTTGCAACGGAATTGGATGAATGGTTGCAATTTGACCGCTACTCCAGTTAGCAACGATTTAAAAATTTAAATATGGAAGAACAATATAAAAATTAAACAAACTTAGTACTTACGAAATACCACATTATACTTTTCTAATATCATGGTTGAAATGAGTAAGTTTTTAATTAATAATAGGACAATAGTGTCTCGAAATGAAATACATTTGATTTTAAGAACGAATTTTTAGAAATTCCTCTCTGAGGGGGGTCAAAGAGGGTGAAAACGTTTGTATGAAAGTGTTTTTGTTTTTGGACCTATATCGATGAAATACCTGATAGGTATTTGGATAGTTTAAGACCCTAAGAAGGTAATAGGTTATATTTTATCCCGAAAAATACCACTTAAAGGAATGAAAATGGGATCGAATCAAGTTATTTCCATAGCAACATTATTTAGTAAGTTGATTTGTCATTGTAATAAATCTATCTTAATAAAATATTATTAAAAATATTTCCTTACATTGTGATAAAATTGGTATATATATATATATTTTTCGATAACAAAAAAAAACATTTGATCAATTTTCTTACTTTGTAAATTTTCATAACAAATCATTCTATTAACGAAAGAAAACACAAACTATATATTTTGTACTATAATACATGGCGTTAACTACACTTCTATATCGCACTGTTTTGGTCAAGGTTGAATTTTCAAATAAAATGTAGTAAGAACTTTAAGCTTTGCTATACGAATGAGTAACTCGGTGGCCACTTCGCAAAGGTGTTGTTTCGCAACAGGATAAGTGACGAAGAAATTATTATCTCGACCTACTCCGTGATTCGGAATACACGTTATACCATTGGTCCCGGCTGCATTTGCAGTCTAATGCAGCGTAGTCATGGCCCATCCTCCTTAACCAATCCATAAGAAAGGACTGAGTGGGGAACTGCAAGGAGTGGGGACGTAATAGGACTGATATTGGTGATACTAGAAGGCGTTTATCCTTAATTGAACGGCACAATTATTTTGTTCAACAAGTTTTGCGTAGATTTCTGTTTTCAATTTAATTTTATGTGAACATTAAATTTATATGTATTTCAAATCGGATAATTTAGCTTTCAAATTTTTCTTGTTTTTGTTGTAGTATTTTCGAAGTAGAACATCAAAGTAATTATATTAGAATATCGCGAATATTATGCTATCACTAAAATTAAACAAAATGAATAATTATGTTTCGTAACGTGATCCTAGACAGTTAACCAGTTCTCTGAGCTCTGTATAGCCGCACTGTAGAAGAACGTTGTGATGGTTACTCAGCTGATCGACGTTTAGCCGTGCAAATGAATGACGCTCTTCTATTACAGAGCTAGCCGCCTAATTGGACGGATATTTTTAGTTGGCTACGTTATATTCATTATATATACAACAATTTAAACTTAGAATTTTAATTTTAACAGCTGTGAGTTTAAAAATCGACCAAGCAATCGTGTTATTTATATTGTTCTTAATATATTTATTTCGGTAACTGTCTAATAATCTCTAATTATATGATATAATGAGCGACAAGAAGAATCCTTTAATTATTCCATACTAATACATACATGCGTATATCATGTCAGTTATGCTCTCACGCCTAACTCACTAAACAGAGTTCACTTGAGATAGGACATGAGTTGCTTTTTATTGTAATAAAAGGGTTGAAATAAGGTATTAAAGTTTGTACCTACGGATGTTCGTCGCAGTCAAAGATAAAATGATGAAACTTTTGTTTTACACGATATGATTAATAAATATTCGTTTTAGATATGCTGCTCAAAATAACTATGCCGCATTCGCTTGCGAAACATCTGTGAAACTATTGCGAATGCGGAATGCAAAAAATCTGTGTAACGACGTTTTTTGCAGCTCCTTGCGTATCTGTATTAATAGAGTGAGACAAAGCACACGCGAAAAATTGCCATACAACTGTCAATTTTTTTCGTTTCACTTTCGCATGACTAAAGACCGTCATAGAGGGAAAGAAAATTCTTGAGCTCCTCTATGCTACTAATGACAGGGGACACACCGTTGATCCCGGTTACGTCTAAAGTCATCAACACTTATTATCTCACCACACTGGGCTCGCATGGTGAGCTGTAGCTCTTTCTCCTTATTTGCCATCATATATAGAGAAAACCTATTTAAATCAACAATGGAAACATAATCATAGATGATGTAACTGTGAATAATGTTTTCGAGAAATATGTACGAAGAAAAACTCACGTAAAGGTTCATATATCTGATATAAAGTGTTCCCACGTCAAAGTTCAGCCTTTGGTCAACCAGGGCACGCAGGCGAGGGTTCTTAGGATACAGAGTGTCGTCACGGCCGTACGCATTCGCCAAGTAAGTCAAAATAGCACGACTGAAAAATAATTATCAATATAAATTTTTTGCAAAAATATATTACTTTCGGTTTTTGGTCGATTGCCTGAACTTGGATTAATGGAAATAAGCTTCAAATCATCAGCAACCTATTAAAGTATTGACTGCCGGCGCTCAGGCCTTCCTGGATGAAATCGAATAGGGAGAATGGGTATGATCCACAGCGGGCAATTTCTGGTCACCAATCTTATGACCGGCCATTACGAAAGTCAGTAGCAAAAGTGTCAAGTTGGTAAAAAATTCATCAGAATCGCTATGATCCCCGGTAGCTGGACTATATAGTTTGATTACGGATCGTAGGCTCGATTCCTTCTCACTAGTAATATAGACTCTACTAACTCTAGCATTTCCGTCTTGAATAAAGCATATAGTTATAATAAAATTATTTGTTTCACACCACAAATGACTATATAGATCAATAAATAACACATACGTAACAGATCACCAGGCCCCCGAATATACAGAGCGTATAGGGTAAAATCCGGATTAAACCCTAATGCATTCAAAGAAACAAAATTTAATCTGGAACCTCAATCAGCTTTAAAAATATTCAATAGCGATTCATCAATATAATTTCAATGTTTGTTGAAGTCTTGTCGCGGAATATTTTTGTTCACACGGACAAAACTGATGCACCAACTCCAACATGTGGCACTGAGAGCTACGCGGATGGCACTTCCGATTATAATCAAGTCCCAAACCGATCAACAAGCCTGACTTTGTGCATTTGAAACTGAGACAAGTATCCTTCCGAGGCAAATATACGGTTTTATTCTAGTACATACAGTTAGACAATGTTTTCATTAATAAAACAGAAAATTTCCTTTGCATGAAATTAGTAGTGAAAGAGTAACAATCTAATTAAGTTCGTGTGTCTTTGCTTGCGTGCATGTAAGGTGTGTTGTGTGTCTATATTACAAAATAAAAATTACCTCTCCCATAATATAAAGCCATTATCATCCATTGTCGGTATTGTATGCTGAGGATTCATCTGTAAAGTATAATGGAATATGATTAGTGAATAAAATTGCCAGTTACTGATATATTATTAGCATGTCAACGTTACGTAATTTTTAATGGGCATTTTGTCCAGAGTCATGCTGTGACTAGAGCACTATTAAAGTTAGTAAAGTTTGTTAAAATAGATAAGCACCCATAACTAAGTAGCCATCTGGAAGAAGAATTTTGTCTATTTCGAAATGGTAATATGACCCCAATTAACGATTTTTTTGGTAATATTATATGATGCAAGGGAGGTAGGATTGGACTGGACTGAACCTGACACTGCCTTTGATGAAATAGATAATCTACATGCATATGATTTAAATAAAGTTGTAAGACCAATTCGCAATTTTCCGGAATTTGCGTTTGAGAGCAAATAGAATAGGCCTTCGGGCGTCCTGTTAATTCGTACTACTTATAAATATAGTTTAGTTTCTACTATTATTATAAACAAATACAATTTTAAAGTAATAGTAACTTATAAGTAACCTTGATGAATTCTGGTGTTAGATGAGCTCCTTCCATTATGTTCGTGAGCACCAACTCCAGTTCCAATCCCAATGCCTTAGCAGTCATCATGACCGCACGGCAGGGTGGTGACGGTGGCAAATAGTACAGCTTTATAGGCTGTGCCGGCATCTTGCTGCTCTTAGAACGAGCGACGGCGTTGCTGAAATTGTAAGAAATAGTTTTTATATCTATACTATTATTATAGGGTTTGTATTGAATAGACCCTGAAACTACTAGACTGACTTTAATAATTCCTTTACCAACAGGAAACTACATCATACACGATTGACATTTAACTTACGTGAGGAAACAGCTAGTTTATAATATTTTACTTGAAAAGCTATGCTATTATGTAACAAAATCAGCCTCGAAGTCGACGTCAAACACTTTTCATTAAGCTTCAATCAAATGAAACCTTCTTCAAAAGGTAAAAAAACGGGTTCCATTGAGTTCAACGCTTATTTTATTACAGAACAATAGGGCAATTCTGATAAGTTAATTAGGGAAAGTCAATCGTGCTTTAACTGTAACCCTTCGACGCAGTTCTGGTTACTATAGCACAAAATAATAAATAAATATGTCATCATTGATTTGATTTGTGAGGAAGACATTTAACTAGTAATATTAGACTTCAGATAATAGTGAATTATTCCCCTCCTTGATCCTCCTTCCTTTTCTTTTTACAGAGAAGACCAGCCCTGCGATCCAGACCCAAATTTGAATTCACTTATGTATCCGAATTTACGTAGTGTAGCAATTCTATTGATTCATTTTTTTTTTTTGTATATAAATACAAAACAAGATTAACTGATTTATGTCCCAAATATTTCTTAAATCTTCCCAAATATTTCACTTATGCCTCGAAACGTTATTAACAATTCAAGTTTGAGCGGACGCCGCTTTTGGTATGAATTTGGACACCTGAGTAAATTCGTATTCGGGTTCAGATTTTGACAGAATCGCAGCGCTGTGCCCTATAGGGTTATTAATAAACTAATGATAATGATGGTAATGAACAAAACAAAGAAAGTATGGGAAGCAGATGGCAGCTTAACGAAAGAGATGAGATACAAAATGAAAGTTATTCCAATCTTGGTCACGACTCATGACTATTAAGTTCCACTGAATAATGAAATAATGCCAGGTTTAATTGAAACCTCTGATTAACGATTTTGTACAAAATCGCAAATAAATACTTATCACAATAAATACGAGTAATGTTTAAAATACATTGCACAGGCATGTGTTAGTTAAAAATTGCTGACAAAGAAAAATTAGGCGTTAAAATTTTATAGTCAAATATCTTTGCTTTACATCAGTTTTTGATACTGTATAATACGTATTATAAGACGTAAGACAAATTTAATGACGATAATAGACAAATCAAGGTTTAGAAGTAATTATTTTTTCAAGAAAGCAACAGTATTTCTCACACATCTCCACCGCCATTATCCTCTACCACTTTGTAGTCTAATAATTATTGAATTTTTATTTGACTTGACACATTGTTTTAAATTTTATTTTTGAAATTAATATCTCATTTCTCTTCCTAAATGGATACCTGGAAAATATATACTATTGGTATCCTATGAACTTTATCCTCACCCAATTTCAAAGCCAAAAATTAGTAAATAGTTGTTATCAAAATCCCACAACCAGAATAATTTACAGATAAAACTTACCCTACATTAATCATTAATAGGGAAACGAAAACGTATAATATCCCAACGTTTTTCATTTCTATATCTCGAGGAATCTGCTGGTGCTGAATGCTTAGTTTACTATTATTTTTATAAGTAAAGTATGAAGGAAAACTGCTTTCACAGCCTAATTTTAAGTGGGAGCAGTGTCTAGATAAGAGACGTATAAAAGTTAGAAATTAGTTTATAAATTATGTTAAGAAACAAATATAAAAGTGTAAAGTCATATGCTGTGATATTCTGCAATAAAATAGCCTCTAAATCGGCGACGAACGCGACGCTCTTACAGCATACCGCTATGCTGTATGCTGTCAACCAAGGGAAACCTACTTCAGTAGGTTATAAATGTTTCATTTCATTTGGAGCACTATGCACAACGTCGAGGTGTAGGTTGTTTTTTATTACAGAATAGCAAAGGTGTCCTATCTGTATAAGTAATTTATTTGTAAGCGACGATAAATTTTTAATTATGCTATGTTTTTAAGGTTATTCGAATAATATTTGTTTCCAATTTGTTAAAAATGGACCTTCGTTAAAAAGGTATTGAAATTTTTCTATAATTTTCTTACATTGGCAAAAATTTCGAATTAATTTATCACTTATTTTTATGAATCTTACTATACATACTTGATAATAGGTTATTCAAATGTTGAGCGAAATAGTTAAAATGAAATTCTTTTTAAAATACTAATTCTTCCAAGCTGTAATATCCAAAACAATGCACGAGTAATGTAAACTCTGGTTTCAGGCAAATAAAAACTGCCAGATCTTTGATGTCAGTTATTCAAAACATAAAATAATCAAAATTGCACGGGTAAACTATTAACAATTAAAATTAACTTACCTGGAGGCTCAAACAAAGGAAATATCAATTTCAATTGATTCCGAACAAAGAAATGAATTCTAAAAAAGCTGTTAAACATAAGAAAGTACATAATATGTGAACGGTAGAAACGTGAACAAAATTTTCGCCATAAAAAAAAATATAAAACTCGCTCTAAAGACCGTCATTTAGTTAATTACTGAAATCTTAATTATACTCTCTTATTATAAATGAAATTGCAAATGTGAGGTACGCTGTAACCAAGGCTGAAGAATGACAACTTTGACAATAATCTTAATGATTTACAAGTAATTATTTAAAAATAAATTTTAATACATATTCTTTTTAGCGCAATACGTCATTCGCTGTTCCTATCTCATTGTATAGCCAGTTGATTTATTATTGATACTTATTGTTTTGCCTTTACGCGCAGCCTTAAGTGCCAATGATTTAAGTTTTTCAGGTTTCATAAAACTATAAGCTATAATTTGAAAACACCGTCAAATTCTATTATTATTTGGCTATTTATTATAATATATTTTAGGTCCCTAAGCATACTGGATAATATCCAGTCTTATTTAAATTATCTTTTCCGCAAAATTCATAAATAAATAGCAAAATGAGTATACAATAAGTACACATTTCATTGTTAATAATATTGCATACAAGTAAATTAATAAAATATAAAAACAGTTTTAAAAAAATGTATCGTAATGCAACTCAATATATATCACCATTTTAGGAAAAGAAATAAAAGTTTTATATAATTTTGTTCCACCCCGCCAAACTCACTTAGCAGATTGAATTTTTTCCACGACAGTTTTGTCCATACATTGCCCCAGTTTGAAATAATCACAAAACCACAAACGTACAAAAATTAATAAGTTTCCTTTCGATAATATTTATTTTATTATTATTATTTATTTTTCGTTCAATTTCTTATGCTTCGATAATAATAACGTTATTAAACTTTACTTGAACTTGCGGCGCGTTCGATAAATATATAGTTACAGTCCCTGACGAGTTGTGAACTGCATGAAAACTGATTTATAACAGAAACTTATCAACTAGCCTGTTATGATTGTGGTGACCATGGTAACGATGGGCGGGATCGTACAAATCTAAGTCATTGTGACAAAGCAATCATAAAAGCTGTCGTTCCACTAGGAAAATATACTAAGCTAAAACATAGCCACGAAGATAACGTTAATGTCAAGCGCAGAGATGTAAGGTCATAGAATTAAATGAACTCTTTATTAGAATTGTGTAAATGCAAATAGGTCATGAATTAAAAAAGAAGAAGAAGAAGAACTCTTTATTATCTTTTGAAGTTAGTCTTACTTGATTTAACCTCTATGCTGCGACAGCGATGTGCTCGAAGTCTAGAAGAATTTTTTATGACAGAATAGCACTACAAATCACTTTTATTACAATATAATACAATAGTTGATAACTTTTATTTTATAAATAAATAGTCCATAATTATCTTATAAATAATACGGAAGTAACGGCATGTCTGCGATTAATAGTTTCGGAGATATGGTGCTATGTTTGTGCAACTGATGTTAGTCGACCGAAAAAGGTACCTATACCTACAAATTATATTATTAGCTTTATTATGTTTAACTTAGTTAACTTAACTTAACTTAGTTAATTTATAAAAATAGGTAACAACTTAAATTACTCCTCTGTTGCCGAAGTAGGAAAAGACATCCTGTATTCCAGCGTACAGCGCCCTAAAAATCCCCATAGAACCCATAGAATTCACAATTAATTTCCTTATATGACAATATGAGCTGTAAATATATAACTTAATTTTGAGTTGAAATAAAAACTGAAAGTGTGTTCATGCATGTGTGTATGTGAGTGTGTGTTAGTGTGAAAGATAATAGATAAAATTATATAAGTTACTAACGTCATAGCACCGAAGTCATGAGGTTCTCGGTTTCCTCGTATGAAAGTGTCTGTAGCCAGTTTGATACTTTTCTTTTGCATTCTATTTTAGTTAAGGGATAGATGTTTAATATTTTATTCACCTTATTGTAAACAAATGGACCCAAATAACCGAAGAATCTACCCCCAAACGCAGTGTCACATCCCTCCCTCCACCTACACACCGTGCGCTTCCTTCGAACCGTTTCAATTTGCGGATTATAGGTTAGAATAGAGTGTTGTTTTAAAATAATTTGTAACACAAACAACTGCCTAATTGTAAGTACCTCACAAAACTGATACAGTTCTATCGTTGGAAACAGGAAAGGCTTGAAAGTTGCAACTTTCAAAATCGCTCTCTGAGTAGTCTCTAATCTCTTCAGTATACTCTTGGATGCCCCACCCCAACTCAAAATGCAATAAGTGAAAATAGATTGACAAAGAGCATAATAAACATGCTTAAGTTGAAAAGGCTGAAGTATATGTCTGAGTGTTTTGAAGGTAAAAATCAGACGCCTAGATTTAGAACAAAGTGCTTCAATGTGTTCCCGAAAATTTAGATTTTTATCTATTTTTACTCCAAGATATGTGATAGAATTAACCTTTTCAATGAAACCACAACTACAATCCGCTAAATTAGATTGACAGTTGTGATATACAATTGAGTGGTCGCT